AATATATATAATATATACATATATATATATTAGGTATATATATATAACTTAGATATACTTTTAGTGGAGGTTAAGCTAGAAACACGTTGTAGCGTAGCGTCTCTACTGAAAATGTAATGTGAACATAATAATAACGTAGAGCAGCTCGGAGAGACAGACCTCCCCAAGGCCCAGCTGTTCTCTCATGTGAATTTTTTATTAATTAAATTAATTAATTAAGTTCGGAAAAATTAATTAATATAATTAATTAATACAATAATAATTTGGATCGGATTAGGCGAGCGTGCAGGTGGGCGCGCGGAGGACTGCTGGGTTGCCTTACGCTCGTGTTGCGTGTTGTAAGTCTACAGCCAGCGCACCCTAGCGGGAAGTGAACTGAAACGTGCACCGGTAACAAACACACCAAACCACACAAACACACAAACCAACACTCAAAGACACGCCGATCGTGAAAAAACATAACAAGCCCCTGGCGGAGGTAATAAGCGAAAAATGTATACATGTGTAAAATCTGAAAGATGAGATATATTTGTAAAAATGATGAATAAGTCTCGTAGTTAGCGTGGAATCTTCAGAGAATCGCACACGCGGAACGTGATTCCTACCACCTACACTATCTACCAGCGTGGCGTGTTTACGTAATGTTTACTGGATGAAAAGAACAACTATGTGTATGAGGCTAAAGTATCAAGACCCACATCTATAAAACAAGAAAACAATGGACGCCGAGTTACAAAGCCACTCTCTACCAATATATAATATGCAAATTGCCAACTATGTATGCGGATTAATTAATAAAGGTGATATTTCACAAAGGCGGAGCTACTACAAACGTGAAATGAGCCTCGTCATGAAAAAATGAGTCTCGTCTAAACGACGAACCTTAACTAGAGTTAAGCGTCTACACGGCGGCCTTAACTCGAGTTTAAGGTAACTCGAGTATAGGGTTAACTCGAGTTAGCTTAACCTCGCCAGTCGACTCCGAGGTAGGCTAACTCGAGCTTACCTTAACTCGAGTGTAAGGCCCCGTGTAGACGCTTAACTCGAGTTAGGCGAATGAGTACATAATTCCACGATAAGCGGCAACACCGCCCAATTAGTACGTGTACGTACACACCACGCACGCACGCACGCCACGCACGCACGTTACTTGCCACACGCACGCAAACACATCATGTACGCAATGTGTTTACGCTCACACGCACGCATGCCCGCATGCCACGCACGTGTACGTGCGCACCGCACGCAGCCACGCAACGCAACGACACACGGCACGCACGTTCTACTCGTGCACATGCATGCACGCACGCACGCACGTGTACCGCACACAACACGCACAAAACGGTACCTGCACACGCGCGCACACACGCACCACAGAGCAAGCATGGCACGCACGTGTACGTGCACACGCCGCATGCACGCACGGCTACGTGCACATGCACACACGCGCACACACGCACGGCACGCACGGCACGCCCACCACGCAGCGTGTACGTGCAGCACGCATGCACACACTCATGCACGCACGTGTACAGTGCATCAGCGACGCCACGCACGCATGCACGCACGTGTACGTGCAACACGCACGCACGCCACGCACGAACGTGTACCCTGCACACGCCGGCACCACACGCACCACGTGTACGTGCAACACGCACGCAGGCACGCACTGTACGCACGTGTACGTGCACACGCACGCAGGCACGCAATTACGCACGTGTAGCGGTGCCACACGCACGCAGGACCACGCTGTATGTTCACACGCACGCACGACGTGTACGTGCACATGCATGCAGCGCACGGCACGCCTACACACACGTGTACGTGACCAACCACGCCACTCACGCATCCACGCCACGTCGTACTGCCCACACGCACCGCACGCACGCACGCATGCACGCACGTGTACGTCACACGCACGCACGCATGCACACATATTTACGTGCATATGCAGGGACGCACCGCGCGCACGTGTACATCCCAAGAACGGCACGCACGCCACCGGCACGACGCACGCACGCATGCACGCATGCAGCATCGCAGCAGTGCTACGTGCACACGCACGCACCACGTATATGCTGCATACGCACGCTCGCACGCACGTTAGTGCACACACATACCGCACTTCACCGATCTGATCCGTTATGTACAGCCCTCATGACGTCATCACATCAGCTCGACGTTTTAGATATAAGGTCGCCATTTGTACATTAAATTGCGATTTCATATAATATTTCAAAGTCCACGATGCAAAGATTTTGGTGAATTAAACGCTGACAGTAGCCAAGACGCTGGCTTTTCGCTATGCTATATATTCTGATGGCTCATATTTACATATATGCATGTGCATGTGTGCGCTTAGATAAACGTATAAACACGATAGTGTCTAAACTCAACTCTCTCACTGGGTATATCAGTTAGTAGAGTAATTCTCGACTATATATATTGTGTAAATCGTGAGGCCTTGAGCGGATGTTTTTGTCCTTTATATATGAGAAGAATATGGCGAGGATCTATCCTTGGGGCAGTATAAGGGATTACATTTAACATTTAACATTGTAGCGAATGTGGTAATAAACGTGCATGTCACTATTTCACGTGGATTCAACTCATTCATTCTAATGCCGTGAACTATAAGAATGATCGACGTCACGTATCACACAATTTACCAGCGTGATTTGAACGAATTAACTGACTTTTTCAACTGAACTTTTATCTGAGTCGATATTTTTCCGGTCATGCATCGCGCTCTTGGTAACCAGTCATTCGGAACACGCGCGCCGGAAACACATGGCGGGTATGACGTTATGGGTACGGTAATATTGGCAAATCTGTCGCAATGATGAGATAATATTTCCGTATTGGCTGTATTAACTGTCTCCTCGCCAACTGATTGTCGGTCAGTGGAACACTTCGGCACACAAGCAGCCCTGCGGCGCTGCGAGAAGGTGCCGTGCGAAACGCGCGCGCGTCCACGAGTCACGCAAATTACCTTATGCATATCAAGAGGGGAAATCGGGTTTACCCGTGTTCACGGGCGCTCGGCTTAACTTCAGTGCATGTGCTGCGCTCAGGCTAGAAAGACCCAATGGAAGACTTACAACTTCCTAAAAACGGAAATAAATCCCGGCTCAGCGAGCAGCCCGGGTGTCAGCCAAGGCACTCACTAACCGAATAACATGACTTGCTATGGCGCGGAAATCTAAGCAATGCGATTGCAGTATAAATAGGGTACCAACCGTTACTAGATATACACGCTTGCACGCACATATGAACTCACGTACACACACGTACACACACGCACACACACACACACACACACACACACACACACACACACACACACACACACACACACACAAACACAGACATACATACATACAAACAAACACACACACACACATATACACGAACACAATACGATACATGCACACGCTCGCGCAAACACCCACCCACGCACACACGCATATTTGATCTCGACGCCTGCCCTAGCTTCTTCGTTCCGCGGCTACTCGCCTTCCATTTTATGGCTGTTCAAACGCATTTTAATAGCGCTATCACAAGGTAGCGTCAGATATATGACAGCTGTAAACAGCGCCCGTTAACAAATGAACGCCTTGGACTTAACAAGCTGCTTCAACGAACCGCACATCAAAGTTATATCGGTATTACTTGCACGCGCGCTTGGTGTGAAAGACCGAGAACGCGTGCAGATGCTGGTGACATGCTCACACATCGCGGGTGATTGAGGGTGATATCCGCTGTATTGCAGATACTGCGGTGGGCGACGGTATGGGCGGCACCATTTTCTTTATCGTTGTTATTATTACAACGTAATTCAATTGTTATTACTCCTGTTATTAGTAATATTGTTATTAAACATTATCGTCATCATCTTCACGATCATTCTCGTGCGGATTTAGAAGATTTGGAATAAACGTGTTCATATTTTAGAGCGAAATAAACATGGCTGCATTATGTTTGCCAACCTATTTATCATGTACATTTATTTCATATATGCAACTATATCGCAAGTGTGGTTTATATCCGATACGCGCGAAATGTGTAAATACACGTTTGAATCATATATAACCCAAAGACATGCCAGAGGCGACACGAGCTTACATGTCGGATGAAGCTTATAGCAGGCAGCAGCTAAAAGTGCCAATTCCGACAAAGTGAATTGAGACGCTTTTCTAAAGCGCGACAATTATGCTGCCAAATAGATTGCGCTTTTTCTCCTGAGAATCTGCCCCGTTGACGTGGAAAAGCCTCTTCGTTTTCGAAACGTGATATTTATCCTGCCGATTCGGCAGCTGGCGCTGAGACCCTTGAGGGTTTCGGCAGCGACACTAGTACGCTGAGATGTTCTGACATCGTCATGATATGCTTTCAACCTCTGTGCACAATGCGCACGATATGACATCACAGCAATCACGGGTCGAGTGCCGAGCCAAGATAGTATAGTGGTCGCGCTGCAGAGTTGTCTTGCTCCTTGTAGTTTTGTGATGATAGTTACGGACTCGCACTGCTGGTGCCATTCTTTTTTTCTAAGAACTCGGCGGATATATATATATACTATATATATATATATTATATATATATAATATAATACGCCAGCGGTTAGCGTGTTGCGTCTGCCCAGATGGATAACGCTATCCGTGGTGCTGACATTTTGGCCGTGGCGCATCGCTGTATCGCTGATGTCTATAGTATAAACCATCGCTGATAGAATCACCTTGGTAGGCTGCATTTGTGCGAGTGTTCGTGCATGCTGTGTGTGTGTGTGCTGTGTGTGTGTGTGGTGTGTGTGTGGTGTGTTGTGTGTGTGTGTGTGTGTGTGTGTGTGTGTGTGTGTGTGTGTGTGTGTGTGTGTGTGTGCGTGTGTGTGTGTGTGCGTGCGCGCGTGTACCTGTACGTGTGTACGTGGCTTTGTATATGCAGGGTCACAACTGAGCAAATTCTTAGGTGAGGGAGGGAGTTAGTGATCTACAACTGAAATATAACAAGGGAACACTTTTTTATAAAAAATAAACCACACATATATGACAAGTTTGAGCTAACTTCATAACGTTGTCTTACTATTTATAATTTGTTTAATTTTAGGGCTATTTATTTTTATTAGGCATAATTTTGGTTTATTTTTTTATGTTGTCTGAATATCGCAGCGTGTCTTGCGTACTTAGCAATCAATAACTTCGCACTCGTTTAACTATAAATAACTATGGGTTGAATTCCGGTATTCCGGTATTCTCGTTTCGGTATTTTTACGAGGAAACATGCGTGGCTAGATTACGTGTGACAAGTCGCGCGTCGCAAACTGACATCGTGCTTGTTGTTTACTCCGCTAGAACACATCTGTTTAGCGTTTCATCCGCTGCTGCCTGTCACAGCATGCGCAGGGCACATAACGCGCGGTCATCTGATGCTATTGACCGTGTGCTGAGCGTCGATAGACGGGTCGCCTGCTACTCAATATTTCGTAGCCGACGGGTTAGACAGCCCGACAGTGATGCACAGCTAGCTGCGCCGACTATTTTTGCCGCCTAATGGACATATAACTACACGGCTCGCCTTAAAATCATTTATATTTAGCCGCGACAGACACTGCACAGACGTTTCTTTTTAACGTAAAGGTCCCTGTACTATCGATGGTAAAAGCTGAGGATATGCATGAATTCAAAGTAATAAGTTCAAAGGCAATAACACCGGTACTGAAGGGAAGCGGAAAAGGAATATATAGTATAGTACTTCTTTAGTGTTTAGTAATGCATATATAGCATAGTGAATGCGCTGTTGGTGATTATGTTGATGAAGGTTGGGCGCGGGACGTGTGACTAATAGTATACACTTAATGGGTGGTCATAAGGCAACTAAGGAGGAAATGATAGGACATTAGTGTAACGATAATTGACTATGTAGAATTAAGAAATCGTGATGACGCATGCGATGGCGGGAGACGAAGGGCCTACAGAGGAACGGTACCGTGTTGTTCACTGGTCGCGAAGGGGAAGCCGCTAGATGGAGCCGAACGACTGTGCATGTCCACTCTTATGAAAGAAGAGACTACGGACAGGTCGGGTTGGCTCGGTCTGTTTCACTGCTCTGGTTGCAGAGTATATTAAATCACGTTCCTCGCGAACGTCGATTACGCCTTTTCTTCTGTCGGGCTACTTCAACGCAAATTATCTAACACCACATACTGACATACATATACCGATGTGATGCTACGGGAGATCAAGTTGTTTATTTCACACTCTATTTGAATACATCATGCTGGTTTCATTGTGATACATATCCAGTGAAATCCTTTCGTGAAATTGCTCAGAGGTTCCGGGCAGAAGATGCGAGAGACAGAGATAAGGAAGATGCCGCGGAAGAAGCCAACGCTGATGGAATATTTATTAGAATAAGAGCAATAAACTGCAATAGCAAAAAAGTTAAGAAACGATATCATGCACTCGAAAGCAGTTTGCGGGGTAATTAAAACCGGCTGCTCAGGAACACCTGCCCGCCGTGTAATCGCAGCTTCAACGTTTTACATGAACGTTACAGAGACGCATGTAAATCTCACGTTAGCCGTAATGCTCATCTGTTCCGGCCGGCGGGCCTCTTTTGCGTTAGATGTCCAGCATCACATTTCGTTAGCATTCGACGCTTGCGCCGCACAGAGCCACTTGTCACAATATTTGTGTTTTTTCGTCGCCACTGTTTGTTTTGCCCGGTCAGTAATCGATTAGATAGTTTTTGCGAGTAGTGTTCTACGCCTGCGGGTGCCGCGCGCGGTCACGTGGTTGGGAGACCAGCCGCGATCAATCCCGGCATGCAGTGCGTCGGCGCTGCTCGGACGTATGTTTTACTAGTCGCACGCAACGCATCGATCGCATGATCCCCAGAATTGCTACTGTTGTTTCAAGCACTACGGTGAATGAAACAACAGATGTACTGCCCGTAAAGCCCAACGCACACACCCGAGCAAAACACCGGAACGTGGAGCAAAACATGTTTCTCGCTCTCGATGTTCGTGGCTGATGTGGGATTTCCCGATACAAGAAATTGCTCAGCTGAGCGTGTTTCGCTGAACAAGGCAATGTTTCTGATTTGCGGAGCGTGTTTTCGCGTGGATGCGTGAGCGTTACGTTTTGGCTCGGTGTGTTCGTCAATTGTTCTGGCTATCAGTAGCGAAAGTCAGCGAGGTCTCCAATTAATATC